ATTTTGGAGAGTGATACTGATGCTGGGTCAGCCAGAAAACAGGTGGTAGAATTGTGTTCCTGCAGTTAAAAGGGAGATGAGGGTACAACCAGCCTCTGGGACATTCTCCGATCTTAGAGGCATGATTTGTTTAGTCTTTATTCTCCATATCTATTACCCCCTTCCTATTCCCTTCCCCTCTTGCCTATACTATTTATCCCATCTGCAGAACCTTGGCCATCTGACCTTGCCTCTAGGCCGGCCCTCCTACTCAAGTTCCCAACAGCCTATCTAGAATCTTTGTTTATCCCCACTACTGTTCCCCAGCCCTCAGGCTTCTCTCAGGCTGATCTCTCCTCTCTCCAAAGAAAGACAGAACGCTATAAGGCTCTTTGGTCCTAGTCAACAGAAGCAACAGGAATTGCCTTCTAGTATCTTGAGTCCCAGGCTAAAGAAAGATCATAAAGTCTAGATGTCCTACTGCTATATACACAAACCGTCATTTGGGAACCACTTCCTCACCCCATCTTGAAGCCTCCTACCAGCTGTCTAGTCAGTGCTGTCCATACTAAGGCTCCTCTGCAATCTTACTACCCCTATGCCACAAATACTGTGTCAGAAGAGCTGATGGTAAAAGAGACAGGTGGTGGAGCTTCATGAATAGAGAAAAAAACAAACTCAAAAGCAGTGGTGCCTACAAAAGGAAAAACAAGTGCTCTATTCCCGGGGTCAGGGTAAATCAGATGGGCTGTGTTGCTTGAGCACAGTAGGGGATTGGTAGAGAAACATTAAACAGCAGTTGTTTAGAGGTACAATAGCCTAGCCACTCTTCAGAAGAGATGGGTAGAGATATATAGCCCCGATATAGTACGGTTGGAACCTTTTATGGAAATCCTCATGTCCCCAACTTAGCATTTTTGGTAGTATTCTGCAGTGTGACTACTGGGTAATTCTAGCCCCACAGCCCTTCCTGCTGTGGCTGCCCACTTTGTCTAGAGCTATAATGCCAAGTCTGTAACAAAGTTTCTTTGTTAGAAATAGGAAACAAGGGACTGGAGATGACTGTTTAAAAGTGCCTACTATGCAGGCTTGAGGACCTGAGTTGGGATAAAGAGTCAGGATCTCCACATAAAAAGTCCCTGTAATCGGACTAGAAAAAATGACTCAGAGGTTAAGAGTACTTGCTGCCTTTCCAAAGTCCTGAGTTCAATTCCTAGCAACCACATGGTGGCTCAAAACCATCCATAATGAGATCTGGTGCCCTCTTTTGGCATGTAGGCATATATGCAGAGAGAACACTATATACATAATAAATAAATGTTTAAAGAAAAATAAGTTTCCTGTAATCTCAGTGTTGGCGCTTGGAGTGGGAGGGGAGATAGGGGGATCTCTGAAGCTCATTGGCCAGCCAGTCTGCCTATCTAAATCAGTAAATTCCAGGTACAATGAGAGATCTGTCTTGAAGAAGTGTTGACCACTTCAGTCTCTTATTCTGTGCGAGTCAACCAGTTGTGGGTCTTTGCATTGATTATCACCTACTCTGAAAAAGAGCTTCTCTGATGAGGGTTGAGAGACACACTGATCTATGGGTATAAAAATAAGAACCTAGGGAACAAGGTTGGGGGAGGATTATTTTGTTTTGTTTTTTTAATTTTGATCACACTTTTCCCCCTCCTCCAGCTCCTCCCGAATCCTACCCACCCACCCAACTCTATGCCATTTCTTTTAAAAACAAACACGAAAGGCCCACAAAAATAGAAACTCAAATACAAGCAAAAGACCAATATGACAAAAATGCCCAAACAAAGCAAAGAGACAAAAAGTCTGCCAGAAAAACAGTTCATTTTGTGTTGGCAAACTAATCCTGGGCATGGGGCCTGCCCTGAAGTGTTGTTAATATACCCAGTGAGACTCCATTAGAGAAAATTAATTTTTCTTTTACAAGCAAGTATCAGTTGCAAATAGCTTCTTGGTTAGGGGTGGGATCCCATGAACACTTCCCACTCTCAGTGCTGAGACCAGTCACCACCCATTCCCCCGAATCTGGCTTGAATCTACACAGACCTTGTGTATGCTGCTATAGTCTCCATGAGTTCATATGTTCAGTCTTGTTGTGTCTGGAGGACCCTGCTTCCTTGGAGTCTTCCATCCCCTTTGGCTCTTAATCTTTCCACCTCCTCTTTTGCATAGCTTCCTAAGACTCAAGGGGAGGAGTTTAATGGAGACATCCCATCTAAGACTGAGTGCTCTGAAGTCTCTTACTCTGTGCATTGTCCGTTTGTTGGTCTCTGTGTTAATTCTTCATTACTCCAAGAGGAAGTTTCTCTGATGATGTCTGAGTGAAGCACTGATATATATAGGTTTAGCAGAATATCATTAGGAATCATTGTATTGCTGTGTTCCTTTAGCAGAACAATAGTATTTGGTTTTCCCCAGGCCCATGTCCTGTCCAGTCTTGGGTTCTTGGCCATTCAGGCAATATCAGGTGTGGGTTCCATCTCATGCATCTCATGGAGTGGGTCTTATATCCAGTCGAAGTTGTTGGTTACTCCCACATTTGTGCCACTGTTCTACAGTATGTGTTGCAGCAGGTCATCATTGTAGGTCACTGGGTTTACAGCTAGATTGATGATTACCTTTCTCCTGTGGTATGATGCAGAGTACTCTCCAGTACCATGAATGCTATGTCAATAGGGTAAAGATTTCAGGTAGACACTAGCTCAACTTCATGTTTGATGAGATGTGCAAGTGTGTCTTAAGCAATAGGGAACAGTTTTTAAGATCTCCCCTGAGGCCTAGGACATAGCCACAGGTTTAATGCCCAGTTATGTTAGCCGGCATGAGTTCACAAGGATGTGAACAAAGCTTGAAATCCAAACAGAAAGCGGTCTGTTACGCATGCTGTGTTTGTGCTGCTGTTGCACAATTAACTCAGAATGGCTGTGACTGCGTGCACAAGACATACACAAGAACAAAGCAGCATGGATGGGGGATAGCAGGAGGGGCTCATGGAGTTCTTCCCCTAGCTAGGAAGTTATTAGCAATCGATTATTGCTGGGGGAAGGAGTGTAAATTTCCTTTGGGGGTGCAACTCTTTATGGGGCTACCCTGCTCCAATAGATGGTACTTCACTCATGCAGCATTAAGGGGATTTAGTCATTTGTAGGGGTTTTTTTTTTTTTTGTTTTTTAATTGAGCATATATAGATAAGAGGGAAAGGGGATGGGGAGGAATTAGAGGGGTGGGGATGGGTAAGATTTGTCAAAACACGTTTATATTTATTTTGTGTGCATTAGTGGGTTTTTTGTTTTGTTTTTTTGTTTGCTTGCATCTTATGTTTGTGTGAAAATGAGCTGCCATGTGGGTACTGGGAATTGAACCCAGGTCTTCTAGTAAACCAGTGCTCTTAACCACCGAGCCATCTCCAACCCCATATGTGAAATTTTTAACTTAAAGGAGAATGAGGGGCTCACTGAAAACTAAGGACATGGGAATCAAGTGTGAATAGTTACATTAAACAAGTATTGGTTCACTTACTATACAAAATATGGCATGGTAATGGAAGATATTTCTGATAGAGGAGGCTAAGGGTGAGCTGGGAACTCTTACTTTGTTAAGTTTTTCTGTAAATTTAAAATTGGCATTAAAAAATGCAGAATCTGAGGAGGGTGGATTGGTAGGCTCAGCAGGTAAAAGTGCTTGCCACCAACCATGACAGCCTGAGTTCTGTGCCTCGGACCAACATGGTGGAAGGAAAAATCTGATTCCTGAAATGTGTTTATATCCCATATACTTGTTGTGACATGGGTGCTTATGAATACACATATATAGTAAAATGATTTTTAAAATGAGTATTAGAAAGTACCAATAAAACTAAAAACAGTTAATCACGCATTAGGTTCTCCACTTGGTTCAGGACTTGTTATCAGCGAAGGGGGTGGCTTCCTAGGTTCCAGTTGTAGCAGACTCACAACACAGAGGTCTTTACATCCAATGGGCTTGTCTTAAAGCAGCTCTCTCAGGTACCCAGAACAGAATGAAGTAAGTGCCTGCATCCTGCATGAGCTGGCAGGATGTGAGTCAAGTTCCAGTCTCCCTCAGTAAGAGGTCATGGCTAGACATCCTCTAAGGCTCCTTCCTGACTATCACTCCAGTAGCTTCATCTTCCTGGACCTCTCCTACATGCCATGTCCCTCCCCAGGTAGACAGATAGATAGATGCTCCTGCCTGTCCTAAATATTTCACAAAGAGGACATTGGGATCCTTTGCTGCTTTCGTGATCTCACCTCTCATCTCCAGATTTATACTGATGACATTGTTAGAGTGGACAGGAGAAGCTGGGGAAGTTTGGCCAGGGTTGTGAACCTGTGACCAGGGCCATTTGGCAAGTTTAGGATGCTCTCAGTTTAGTTTCTCCCACCCTTTCACTGGGTCCAGTTTCCCCAAACTCGGGAAAGAAAGGGAACCAGTACTAGATGGTGTCAGAGCCCAGTAGGCCTTCCCACTCTGGCAATTTTGGTTTCAGAGAATCAACAGGCTCTGGCCACTGGCCATCGTCTCCTCAACTGTCAGGCCCCATAATGCAGCCAGCACCTTTTGGGACTGCTCAGCAGCATTTCACAGGATGCAGTCATAACACATTATTATTCTTTTTTGAGAAACAATTCATCTGTTTTGTGTGTATGCTCATACAGCATAGCTCACATTTGGAGGTAAGAGGATATTTTAATTCAGTTCTACTGTGTGAGTTTCAGGGATTGAACCCAGGTCATCAGGCTTGGCAGCAAGCTCTTAACTGGTCAAGCCTTCTCACTGGCCCAGTTTTTAAGAAATTAATTGCAGGTTACCTTTGTTAGTTGCAAAGATGAAAAAGTTTGCCATGGTCTCAACAGTAGTTCCCCAGAGTACCTCCCTTGGAATTTAGCTGTGTTACATTGTCTTATCTTCTTCTTGCCTTGCCCTTGTGTCTCCCCTTCACTGCTCACTGACAACTAGTTTACAATGTCATGTTCTCTCCACAGGACATAGCTTAGGGTACGGCTTTGTGAACTATGTGACTGCAAAGGATGCAGAGAGAGCAATCAGCACGCTGAACGGCTTGAGACTCCAGTCGAAAACCATTAAGGTAAAGAGATGTGATCCCACCTCATCCGTTCCTGTGCTGAACAAGAGTCATTTTGAGGCCTGGTGCTTCTAGAGCATCTTGGGGAGTCCATGTACACTTATCCCAGAGTGGCTGGTAGCCTCTTCAGCCTCACTATAGGAAGGGAGTATATATTGAGTTAATCCTCATCCCCAGCCCATGACATCCCTTAGGTCCCCTTGTAGACAGACATGATGGCCCTCAGCCTGAATTTCTCCTTTGTCATCTTTGAGACCACACTGCCGGATTCCTATAACAGCTCCTCAGTATTCTCTAGAGCCCTTTGTCTTCAGAGGATACTTCTTTACCAAGCAAACCTTTTCTGAACCCCCAGTTAAACTCCTGCCCTTGTGAGTTCAAGGATGATATGTCCATGTAGCATGATAAAGGCCATTACAGTTGTGGGTTCATCTCACACACAGCATGATACCAACTGATGTCTCACAATTCTGACAACAGCCACTCAGGGTCACCACACTGCACCACAAATTTAAGAGCCCTATTTACAATAATGCAGTCCTTTCATGCCAGGTGCAGTTGTGTGTTTCCAGCCACACTTACAGTTCTAATACAGCTGGCTGAAATTTTGGAGTCCCCTTGACCCCTTCAGATCATAAGCCACTGAAATGGTTCCCAGATAGTTCCTGTTATGCTATGCCTAAAGTCAGGACCCACTAAGCAGAGAGACACAGTCCATTAGAACACTCATGTCCCTTCTCTAGAGTCAGGGTACGTTCTCTTTTCCCATGGCAGTATGTTGATCATGAAAGATATTTCATTGTGCATCAGTGTCTTGAGTTTCTATGGAGGTCTTACTCTGTGTATGTGGCTGGCATAGTTATTGTCATAATAGCATTATAAGCATCAATTTATTCCCCCTCCACCTATTCCAGCATGCAAAGGTAACTTGATACTGTGTGACCAAAATCCCAACCTTGTAGCCACTGACATGATCTTTCTGATGACTTGGCCTTCATCCTGATCCATCATTTAGTATAAATCCAGATGTAAGCCATAGGATTCTGAATAACAAACTAATAGTTTAGAAGTTTCCCACGAGGGAACCAGGATAAAGACCAGACTTATTATTATATAAGTATAGGTAAAGAACCCAGACCCACTGTGCTAGTGCCTGGGCTTCTGTGGCCTGTTCCAAATGCTATGATGCATATTAACATCAACCCAAGATCCCCTTTGACAGCCCAGGTTGGACTGAGGGAGCCTGGATCAGTAGGTTCCTACCTGCCACTCAGACTGTGCCATATGAGGCCCTCCAGGATGTCCATTGTTAATCTGGAGGAAAAGCCTTAACCTGGCCAGAATGGGATACAAGGGTATTCCAGACTCAGGACCTATAGGTGTGTCATTAATGGATGAGGCGCCAAGCAAGAGCAGCTGTACTGGAAGGACCCAGAAGCCAGGCATATTCTGTCCCTAAAGCTAAAACCTTGCTTCTGTCCCTGCAGGCAGGTCTTTTTTGAAGGCTTCACACACATGCACATCTGACCAGCCTCAAATCACAGCTCTTCATGGCTAAATTGTTGCTTGTGTCTTCATTGGTCCTGATGTTGTACTCTGGTTGCAGAAGTCAGAGGGAAGGGTTCTGTTCCTCTATGCCTAACCATCTTCTCTGTGGCAGCCTGGCAACTATAATGAGAAAACGGACTGATCAGGCTCGGGTGCAGCTCCACAGGCCCGCCAGGGCTGTGTGATTCACACAACTCATACTCAACAGGAGGATCCAAGGCCAGATCCTTCCACATGGCGTCTCGGGGTCCTCACCACAGCCCCCATAGAGTATGAGGCCCAGTTTAGAATGATACGCTGACTTTTTTTGTCTTCCCCCCAGTAAGTGAAATGGTTTTCCCAGCGTGTGGCAGAGGGAAAAAAGGAGGGGCAAAGGCCAGGGCTTGAAACTGGATACTTTGGCACCTGGCATTTAACACCAGGTTAGCAGCTTCCTAGTACATGGTGGAAGATAAGTTCCTGGAACTTAAGTTACAGCACAGAGCTCTGAGGAAATGGAACATTCATTTTGGTCGCCTATTCTAGGTTTTTTTGTTGTTGTTGTTTGGTTTTTGTTTTGTTTTTTGTTTGTTTGTTTGGTTGGTTGGTTTTTTTAGACAGGATTTCACTGTATAGCCCATACTGATCTTGAACTTGTTATCCACCGCCCCATCTCTGGAGCACTGGGATTCATTACATGTGTTCTTATCACTAGTGATTGTGGTTGAGTTGTTCAGCAGGTGTTTACTGAATGTCACTATTCCCCCTGACTCTGTTCTCGGTGCTGAAGGAAACAGTGATCATCCAAGTTTTACTCTCAAGGAGTTAATTGAATAAAAATACAGTTTGTGAACCTGTGGTAAATGTAGTACATGTACTACAGGAACAAAGTGAACTGTGCACTAAGTAGATAACAGAGGTCTGTGCCAATCACTTGCTCAGAGAAGTTGTAAGTTTGCTTATATAGTACCCCAGACCAGATGTCCTAAATAACAGAAACCATTTCACTGCTCTGAAGTCTTAGAACAAGGAGGTTAGTTGGTATTTTCCAGGGGCCCTGGAAAAGGGTCCTTCACAAGCTTCTCTAAATTCTAACAATTGCTGGCAGTCCATGGCATTCCTTGCATTATAGAAGCATCCACATGTTCACTATAGTCCTCCATCTCTACATGACATTGTACCTGTGTGGGTGTGCCTGGGTCCAGATTTTCCCTTTCTATAAAAGTGTTGTCAAGAGCTTAGAGGGTCCTCATGGTGTGCCCAAGGATACTCAAAGGGTCCATGCACACATAACAGTGCCAGATGCCCTAGTGCAGCTCCATTGGACTCAATTTTGACTTTGAACTTGGCAGTGCCTAAAGAGAAAGGGCAAACAGAGTTCTTGTGGTCCTGTCCAACATTAGCGTTGAAGTTTTCCTTGTCATTTGGCTCTGAAAAGTACAGACAGTGCTAGTCCTGAGCTCTGCCCCACTGGTGCCACTCAGTCACAATTTAAGAATGCTTGTATCTCTGTGTCTTTCATTAGAAGCTGAGAAAATGATCCTGTATGCAGCTTAAGCAAGGTGGGCTGGTCCTGGATGGCAGCTCCCTGCTGATCCAGCCTAATCTCAGGAAAGCCTGGAAGAGCTGGCAGCCCTGGTGGTGGGGAGGCTACATTCTTTTTTGAGCTGTCCTGTCCAAAATTTGGTGTTTTTTACCAAGGCCTTTTGTAAAGTTGGAAGCCCTTAGTTGTGGGTACTTACCCTTGGGCAGGAGTGAATGGGTATTCTGCAGGGTGTTAATGCAGGGGGTAGCTATGAACACTTTGGGCCTCTATGAAGAGAGAAGCTGGGGAGGCTGTGGACCAAGGCAGAACCAGTCACGTGTGTGTTAACCCCTGATTTAGATTATGGAGTGGCCATGTATCCACAGAGCTCTTGCTCTACAGGTTGGACCTTGGTATTCAAGGCCTGAGAACAGATAGGGAAGCATCCATTGTGCACAACTCCATTTCCTCAAAGACTGCTCCCCAGCTCCCTAATAGTTCTGGTGTTGCCCATGAGGTTAGTAGCTCCTTACTATGTTTAAGCAGTTTTGTGCCTTCAATACACAGATCTGAGGTCTTGTCCCCCACCCACCACCCACCCTATTTCTAGAGCACTTGGTTCACAAACATGCACCCAACTCTGTATCCAGCTTCCTGGCTCAGCTTTGGGTCCCATCCTGTTAGGCCACCTCTCTTCTTGCAGAATGGCCTCCTGCTAACGGTATTATCTCATCAGGGAAAGCACCCAAAACCTTTCCTTGCTGTTGTCTTTGGGGCTTCCCTTCCTTTCTCCTAACACAGGCATTAACACCAAGCATTTGAATGCTGATCACCGGGCCCCCTCAGTGCAGCATTCTTATCTGAGCTTTTGTAGTGTCTTACTTGTTGACAGGAGTTGTTAAAGCCTTTCCAAGAGGATTCTCAGCTTTTGTGTGCCACACCACAAGTTCCTTGCAGGTGTGGACATAGGTCCTATTTTCAGCAGGAAATATGAACTTGAATCCCAGCTTCTGTGGGCCTATAGTCGATTTGTCTTTGTGTAATAGGAATAATGTTTTGCTTCTTAGAGATGCTGAGGACCAACCGAGAAAACGCTACAAGGTGTCTGAGGTCCCTGCTTGCCTGTAGTGAACTGCCAGAACAATACCATTGCAAGATACTATCCTGTGTGCAATTACTTGCCACAACATTGGCTTTGCATAATACCAAATTTTGGTTCCTACCTATGGGACTTTGGCCACATGTCAGTCCTAATTGTGACTTGTTTTGTTTTTAAGGTGTCATACGCTCGCCCAAGCTCAGAGGTCATCAAAGATGCCAACTTGTACATCAGCGGGCTCCCGAGGACCATGACTCAGAAGGATGTGGAGGACATGTTTTCTCGGTTTGGGAGAATCATCAACTCCAGGGTCCTTGTGGATCAGACCACAGGTACAGACAGGAGCTAGGTTAAGCAGCAAAGGCTTCTCTCTGAACCCAGCCAGGACCAGGTGTTCTAGGGAAGATAGGGAGATATCATGAGTTAGCCTTCAAAGGGGGACAGATTGGACATGAGAAGACCTTAGTTTTCATTTGATTGGGCTAGGGGAGTGAGATGGCATTAAAAGAATCCTGGGAGATAGGGGTAATGGAGCATACCTTTAATCCCAGCACTCAGGAAGAAAAAGTAGGTGAATCTGAGTTCATGATCTGCCTGATTTATATATCAAGTGCCAGGCCAACCAGGGTGACATAGTGAGACCATGTCTCAAAAAAAGTAAGAAAAAGAAAGAAAAAAAACCCAGCCACCCAGCATTAGACTAGCATTTTGTAGGAAAAACATCAAAATTTTGGCACCTTCTCTGTACACCCAGATAGCTTTCGCTGCCCTGAGAATAGTTGGAAGTTTGCTGTTCACGTGTCACTTGGAGTTCTTACTACAGATACATGGTGTCAGTATGTCTCCTCTTAAGAGTCCCAAGATCCCACCTTGTAGTGACCTGAAGCAACATCATTGGCTGTTTGAGATGGGCTTCCTCAATCTTCATGATTGGGATGCTCTTCAGAGAAGCAGTGAATTCCTGTCTCTGTCCTTCTGACCACTTGGCAGGTCCCTCCCAGACCATCAGTATAGACTTGGATACCAAGCTGTGTATAGAGATACTGGACATAAATGCTGAGGACTCCCATATATGCCCATGGCTGTGTCCCAACCCAACTGTCTGCTTCTTGGAACCAAAACATTCCTCATCAAATGACAAGTATAGCTTAAGTTGGGAACATAATTACTCATTATCTCCACAATAGGAATGGGAATTTGCTGGCACCAGAAAGGAAGAGTCTGTTTAGAGGCTAAGCAAGGCCTGTGTGGGTTTGTTTGTTTGTCTGTTTTCTTGTTTTCTCCCCTTCACGTTCTCCATAGGCTTTGTGCCGCACCTCCTGGCTGTGGGTGGCTGTCATAGAATTCCTCACTTTGGGGCACCTTCCCTTTGGAAAAACTTGTGGCGCTCTTTATGACTGCACAGGGTTGAGTTTCTTTGGCTCAAGATCAGGCTCACTGCAGACTTCCCAGGTACCTGTTCCTGGCATGCCAAAGGGGCTCTGAGTGTGGCCTATAGCCTAGTATATACACCTACTCTGAGCAGTCTTTGCCAGAAAGGCCTAGGTTCCCTTACACTATTGTGCTCCTTGCTCTGGATGGGCAGCAGACTGGAAAATAGTATTTACTTAGCAGGAACTCCCAACCCCAGTTTGCACTAAAAGTTATCGGTAGTCCCTGAAGTACCTGTTGAGAGAAGCAGTGAGCCACTGGCCAGAACCAAGCTAACACAGGTTCTCCCTGAGCCTCTTCCCTACATCGCACAGGGATCCTATGTCAGTCGGGCCCAGCATTGCTGGGTGTGGGAAAATGAAGCAGAAGTCCATCCCCAAGAACATACCACTTTTCCTAGAGGCTCCCCTCTGCTTCTTTGGCATAGTTGGGCCCACCTTGTAGAAAGTAGCATTTTTACAGGCAGCTCCTTCATCTGTTTGTAGGGACTTTGTCTCTTTCCCTTGTCCAAGAGATAAACCACAATATCACCCCCTCTCCCTAATTAGCCATAAATTTGGGATGTTTTCACACTTTTCCCTTGGCTTTCAATGCTGTTCTCAGCCACTTTAGCAAAGGACACCACACTCCAAGCAAGAAGGGACATGGCGGGACCCCCTCTCTTCCCTAGCCCCTCCTTCCATGGATGAAGCCATCTAAAATGATACTTACTTGCTCTCAAGGCTTCTGCTGGAGTAGGAGGCTACTCTTGCTAGGACTTTATGAGGCTCAACATTGCCAGGGGAGGAAGAGTATGGAAAAGGAAGACTTATGTTAAGTTCTGTAGATGAAAAGTACTTGAAGTTCAGAAAACCAGGGGTGGGACTATGGCCCTGTGGTAGAGTCTGCATACCATGAGTAAGGTCCCAGGTCTGATCCCCAGTACTGGGGGGAAAAAAGAAAGTACTTAACAGAGTGGCATTTAGGGCTGGTATGGTGGCTCCCATGGGTAAAGGTACTTGCCTGAAAGTCTGGTAAACACATTGAATCCATGGGCTCTATATGGTGGAAGAAGAGAACCAACTCCTTCATATTATCCTCTGATTTCTACACCTTCACAGTGGCAGACATATACACACAAACACATGGTAAATAAATAAATGTTTTTTATTTTTATTCACCATTGTCTTAGTTACCTTTCTGTTGCTGTGATAAAACATTTGAGCAAGACAAATTATAAAAGAAAGTACTTAATTTAGCTTATGATTTCAAAGGGTTAGAGCTCATGATGACAGAGGGAAAGAACAGTTGAAGACTTTACATTGTGATCCACAACCACAAGGCAAGGAGAGAGCCTTCCCCCAGTGATACCCCTCCTTGAACAAGGTCCTAATCCTTTCCAAATAGTTCCAACTCTGGGGACTATGTGTTCAAATACATGTACCTCTGGGGGCCATTCTCATTCAAACCACAATAATTATTTTTAAATTCATTTTTATTTTCTGTGTATGAGTGTTTTGCTTGCATGTATGTCTATTGCATATAATGTGTATACAATTCCTAAATGTTTAAAACAACAACAATAAACAAAAACCAGATAAGGTGGCACAAGTCTTTAATCCCAACTTGGAGGCAGAGGCAGCTGGATCTCAATGAATTTGAAGCCATTCAGGGCTGCATGGTGGGACCCTGCCTTTAAAAAGAAAAACTGGGATCTTCTTTTAAAAATCTTCTCATAGCCTGTGATGGTTGCTCACACCTTTAGTCTCAGAGGGAAGCGGATCTCTGTAAATTCGAGGCCAACCTGGTCTACAGAGCAAGTTGCAGGACAGCCAGAGCTGTTAAACAGAGAAGCTCTGTCTCGAAAAACCAAAAAAAAAAAAATTCATGTGGAGCTAGACAGATGGTTTAATTGTTAAGAGTACTTGCTACTCACCCAAAGGACCCAGTTCCCAGCACCCACATGGCAGCTCATAGCTATCTGCAACTCCAGTTTTGCGGTATTGGATGCCTTCTACAGACACACAGGCAAAGCACTCACACATATAAAAATAAATAAATCTTTTAAAATATTTTTTTAATATTCACATCCATAGTCAGTAGAACTAGTTTTTATTTTTTATTTTTGTTTCTTTATTCATAATTGTTAATTGGATTAGTTCACACATCTGGAAATTATGCCAGTTCTTAGACTCTGTCGTTAATCCTGAAAACACTAGCAAAAATAAAGCCCAATTCAGGAAACTTTCTGAAGAGGAGTCACAGTAAGAGCCACTGGGGATGGAAGACACCGAGGAAGCAGTGCCTTCGAGACACCTCAGGGCTGAGGCACACATGAACTCAGAGACGGTGTGCACAGGGCCTGCACGGGTCCAAGCTGGGTGATGTCTGGGCACTGAGAGAGGGAAGTGGACATTATCTCCCGTCCCTAACCAAGGAGTCATCTCACAAAGGAAAAATTGGTTTTCCCTAATGGAGTCTCACTGGGTATGCAAACCACACTTAAGGGCAGGCCCTATGCCTCGGAATAGACAGCCAACTGAAAACTAACTCTGTGGTATTTTTGGAGCTTTTTTGCCTCATAACACTTTTGTTCTTTTCTTATCTGTTTGTTTTTATTTCCTTGCTTGTTTTCTAAAATGAGAGAAGGCATGAGTTATGGATGGGAAGGCGGGAACAGGAACGGGAAACCATGATAAAACTATTGTATGAAAAACATCTATTTTCAATTAAAAATAAAAGTAAAGCCCAAATCACAAAACCATCTTTAGAAGTATGAATTTATCAAACACTTACTGATTTTATTACATCCTACATGAGATACCATCCCTTTTTTTTTTTTTTTCAAGTAGTTTTTATTTGAAAGCAGTTGCATAAAACCAAAGAAACCACACTTGGACATAGGTTTTTCCTCAACTTGGTCACAGGTCTAAGAAGTAGAACAACAGTTACTCTGAAGGTGACCTTGTGCCAACCAACCACAACTTTGAATCATACTGGCCTAAAGTTAGGTCAGTGTTCAGCTTTCCAGGATCACCCAAGCAGTCAATTTTGCTGTGTAAGAGGAAACACAGACAGCATCTGCCAAGGGTTGGTCTTCAGGTGTTCCTTCAGGCTTACGATTTAGAAATGAACTCAAGTGCCAGAATCTTGCTAGCACATGGCATATTGCTAGGTCTGGGATCACTGAATCAGTGTGTGCTGTGCATCTTAAATAGGGTAAGTTTTGTTGGATTTTGCAATGCTGCCGTTGAACCAAGAAGAAAGTATCCATAGGTTCCCTGGCTACTGTGCACATACATGATTCATATGGCATTTGGAGATCTTCTAAGTAGTGATTAGGGAAAGTACCAAGATAAGGGAGGAGACCTGAGAACATTTGACAGCATGCTCACTTAACAGGTCACCCAAGGCTCTAGGCCATCATTGTTACTCTTTAATTGTTTGAAGGGCCTTTGCCTAAACCAGGGATAAAGCACCATTAGAGTGCTTGCCTGGCATGCAGAAGGGTCTGAGTTGAGTCCCTAGCACATATAAACTAGGTGTAGTAACACATACCTGGGAAGCACTTAAGATGTGTAGTAACACATACCTTGGGAAGCAAGATTAGTAGGAGTTCAAGATCATGGGCAACATAGTAAGTTTGAGGCTAGCCCTGTATCAAACCAAAAAAAAAAAAAAATGCCTAGGGAAGGATCACCCCCATCCAGATTAGCCTTTGCTGGTCTTGTGAATGAGAATGTTTAGTCAAGTTGGGGTAGCCTCTCTTCCAGACCACATCCAGAACTCAAGCCCCTTAACACTCTTTGGTGTTTGCAGCTCACACCTGTTTTTTAATGTTCTTCAAAGCACAGAGTTTACTCTTTTCCTCCCAGGGAGTCATTGGTTCAGCCCAAAAGAGAGTCAAATCTTAATCTTTCATTAGTCATTGTTTTCTTTATTCATTTGTTTGCATATTTGAGTTTGATTTTGGTTTATTTGATTATGTAGGTGCCCTATTTGAACCACAGCCTTGACTTTTGCTTCTCAGTTTTGTTTTGTTTCTCTGTCTGTTAGGTTTTTCCCCTAACTCCATTTTTGTTGATTTGTTAAAAAGGTTTGTCCAGAGGGGTTGCGTTTATCCGGTTTGACAAACGGTCGGAAGCAGAAGAGGCAATTACCAGTTTCAATGGTCATAAACCCCCAGGTTCCTCCGAGCCCATCACAGTGAAGTTTGCAGCCAATCCCAACCAGAACAAAAACATGGCTCTCCTCTCGCAGCTGTACCACTCGCCTGCTAGGCGGTTTGGAGGCCCTGTGCACCACCAGGCGCAGAGATTCAGGTGGGTCCAGATGTTGACGTCCTGGTGGGCTGTTTGTAGCCTGCTACCCTCCTTCAAGCTACACATACATAGCCCTGTGCTGAAGGGCTGCTCGGAGGAGAAAATACCAGGGATACTACACTGCTCTATCTTCCTAGCTTTGTCCTCACCTCTATTTCACATGTGTCTGTGCATAGGCATGGTGGCTCACACCTGCAAGTCCATCACTGGAGAGACATAAGCAGAAGGATCAAGAATTAAAAGCTACCTTGGGCTACAAAGCAAAATCCTTTCTCAAGGGAAAACAAAATATATTGCAGTGAACCCTCAATATCAGTGGTTGGAGAGTGGGTTTCAGGTCCTCTGCAGGCACCAAATGCAAAGTTGCTCAGCTCTCCTATAAGATCTTTGCATATCACCTACACATATCCTCCTGTAGACTGGATGACTCTTAATACCTAATTCAGTCTAAGTGTTGTGGAAGTATTCGCTGTCCTGTGTTATCTATGGGACAATGACAGGTCTGTGCACAGACAATATGGATTCTTTCTTCCCAGGTACATCCAGTCTATAATGGGTCATGTCCACAGATAGCCCATGGCTACAGTGGGCCAACCATACATCCACTGAGGCATTGTCTGTCTTTAGAGTTGAAAAAGTGGCACCAACTCCACTGGCTACTGGTAGTGCTCCAGTGCTTGGTTCCAGTAATATATTACTGGAATAGTTCAGCAGGAATTACAATCCTTTAATCCTCAGGGGTTTTTTGTTTGTTTGTTTGTTTGTTTGTTTTTTAAACCTTGGCCTGGAGAGTTGACTCAACAGTTAAGAGCACTGGCTGTTAGCCAGAGAATGTGAGTTCAATTCCCAGCACCCAGGTGTTGTATCACGACTGTCTGTAACTCCAGTACCAGGAAATCCAATCCCTTCTTTTGGTCTGTGGGGACACCAGGCACACACATAGTGTGTAGACATACATGCAGGCAAAACACCCATGCACATAAAAATAGATAAATACATATATTTTAATACTATGTAAAAAAAAAATCTTTTGTATCTGTGAGAAAAGATGACAGCATGTGCTTAGACAAGACCTGTTTGTAAAAAAGTTTCATACATTTGTTCAGTGACTCTAAACCAAGCCTTTATCATACAACTTCTTTGTCTATCTTTTCTTTCCCTTTTAGACAGGGTCTAATATAGGCCAAGATGGCCTAGAATTCACTATATATTCACTAATGGATAAGAATGGCCTAGAGCCAGGCCTGGTGATACATGCCTTTAATCCCAGGCCAATCTCTGAGTTCCAGGCCAGCCTGATTACAGTTTGAGGACTGCCAGGCCTAGCTACATAGAGAAACTTGAAAAACAAAAAAATACAGAAAGAATGGCCTTGAGCTTCTGATCCTTTGGCCTCCACCTCCCAAATGCTGGCAAATGTGTCTACCACTACTATACCCAGTTTATGTTCTGCTGGGGATGGAGCTTGGGGTTTGAGCTCTCTGCCATACTGTATTGAAAGCTGCTTAGTCATAGTTATATATAGCTGAGAGTTAGGTGTCTGCTACTTAAAGGCCCTGACCCAAAGAAGGGTTGCTTTCCTCAATTCTTTTGTATTACTGAAAATGGTGTCTGTCAGTTGCTAGACTCAGCTAGAACAAAACCAGCTAAGAACACTGACAGATGTCAGGATCAGGGTGTTACTGCCTTAGGGGCAATGAAAATCTGTATTTAGGTGCCATCATCTTCCTTTTTTTTGTCAGGGTGGCAAGGGCTTGCCTTAGGTGGATAAAGATTTTTTCCAGGGAGGCATGTGGAAAGAATCAAGCCATTTCAGGAGTCTAAAGATGCTGGAGGAGTTCCAGCTAAGTAATCAGACAGTAGCATGAGAGAGCTGCTCAGGAACGAGACCCAGGGATGCTAGAGGAATAGGGTTTGGGTCACAGGAGTGAGGAACAGGAAGAAAAGAAACCATGAGAAGAATGACACGGGTCAGTGAGGGAGGAAAGGAGGAATAGGTAAGGAGTTGGGAATGTATGTGGCAGAGATAAGGAGTTTTCAGTATATAGTCATTCTTTGGTATTCATTAGGTTCTAGGACACCCCTCATACCTCTATCTCACATTCCAGAATCATCCAGTGCTCAAGTCCAACATATAAAATAGAGTGATGTTTGCACTGATCCCATACACATTTCTTCAGCTCATCTCCAGGTCTCCATGTGATTTATACCTGATATTCTGTGATTACCATGGAAACAGATAGTATACTATACTGTTCAGGCAGTAGTGACCCAAAAAGTCTGTACATGGTTAAAATAGGTAGAAAATTGGGGGAGGAGGTGCAGGGAAGGATCTTTTCTCCCACCCCCAGATATCTTCCTTGATCTAAAATTGGTTGAATTGCAGATGTGGTTGCTGAATACATCATTTGCTTGGAAGAGTGCTTACCTAGTATGTATGAAGCCCTGGGTTCCATTCCCAGCACCACCTAAACTAGGTGTGTTAGTACAAACCTGTCTTCTAGCACTTGGAAGGTGGAAACAAGAGGACCAGAAGTTCAAGATTATCGTTAGTTACATAGAGTCAGTCTAGCTTGGGTTACGTTAGACCCTGCCTATAAAAAAAAAAAAAAAAAAAAATGGGTGTGCTGATAGGCACTTGACCCCAACACTCAAGGAGACAGAGAACAGGTGGATCTCTGTGAGTTTGAAGCAGGCCTGGTCTACATAGTGAGTTCCAGGTCAGCTAAATCTACGTATAGTGAGACCACAACAAAACGAAATGCAGATGGAGAAACTATAGATATAGTAGACCTACTGTAGTTGCTGTGTGAAAATCTAGGTGACTTGGAACCATAGTCAGCTCCTCTTTCTAGTTCTCATTGAAAACCAGCTCAGCTTGGTATCTCACAGGCACCTGGATACCATCCTACACCCACATCAATACCTAAGACTGCTATCTTGGTTCTTTCTCACCACATTGAAGCTAGCCCTGAAATTTTACCATATTGAAAGTGAAGTAGCCATGGGAGCAAGTCATGATTCTTTGGTTGTGCTGTGCAACTCCACAGATAATAATGTCCTAAATATTCCCTCCAGCCATTTTTTTTTTCTCAGAAAATGCCTAAAGAGGGCAGCAGAGCTTCCTCTTTTATTATTCTCCATAATCCTTACTACTACATCTACATGTTTTCATCAACATTTTTTTTAATTATTCTTGTCCAGGTGGTGGTGGCACACACCTTTATTATATTTTTTTTTAAGATGTATTTATTTATTACATATACAGTGCTCTATCTGCACGTACACCTGCAGACCAGAAGAGGGCACCAGATCTCATTGCAGGTAGTTGTGAGCCACCATGTGGTTGCTGGGAATTGAATTCAGGACCTCTGGAAGAACAAGCAGTGCTCTTAACCGCTGAGCCATCCCTCCAGCCCGTTCATCCACATTTTTTTAATCCATGTTTTTTAACAGTTCTCTGTGGCCAGGCCTGGTGTACACATCTGTTGTCCTAGCACTTAGGCTAAAGCAGGAGGACCATGCATCTTGAGCCAGCATGAGCTGTAGAGTAAGGCACCTGTTGCCCTAAAGAAATAGAACAATGGAGGGGACAGTGTGGGGGGGTGGGGGAGTGAATGTGTCACTGTGGGAAAAACTCCTGTGCTTATCAAGTTGCTGATATTCCTCTATCCTTGTTCCTGTCTACTGAGTTCATAGGCCTCAGTATTGGTAGCTTGACCTGGCCCTTGTGAGGTGATTTGAGCCAGCTCAGAGCTGGGGGAAGGAATTATTGTGTCCTGTATTAGCTGTGTGTAGCATTGTACTCTCTTCAGGGAATCCTGGGCTTTGACCCCTCAGGAAGAAGTATAACAATGAGGAGGAGGGGGCTGGAGAGATGGCTCAGAGGTTAAGAACACTGACTGTTCTTCCAGAGGTCCTGAGTTCAATTCCCAGCAACCACATGGTGGCTCACAACCATCTGTAATGAGATCTGGTGCCCTCTTCTGGTCATACATGCTGTATACAAAATAAATAAATAAATCTTTAAAAAAAAAAAAAACAATGAGGAGGAGACTAAAGCCACGGGTGGTGATACACACCTTTAATTCCAGCACTCAGGAAGCATAGGGTAGGTAGATTTCAGAGTTCAAGGCCAGCCTGGTCTACAGTGTGAGTTCCGGGACAACCAGAGCTACACAGAGAAACCCTGTCTTGGGAGGGGAAAAAAAATAGAAAAACAAAAGGCAAGAAAACAATGAAAAAGGACTAAACTTGGGAGGAAAAGCTTCCTCCTTCCCCTCCGTGGATTAATGTATACACATTTACACACAGACTGAAGAGTTTCCCTCAAAGAAAGTGACAATGAGAGATCCCTGAAGAGTACTTCCACCTGCATGTGGAAGAAACTCCTAGGATTTCATATATGGGATATGGGATTGGGCTTGTGGCTCAATGCTCACCCTCAGTTCCTTCCCCAGCATCACAGAAACTAAAGTAAAATGGAGAAAGCCACAGAAACAACTAAATAGATCCCACATATGCCATACACATACTGCAGGGGAAGTGGAGGCACTGCTGCTGTCAGATGGCACTAGCTGGGCACCACAGAGTCAGACCCTAACAACAGGGTCCTACCCCCACCACTGTCTTATAGATTCCTTTCAAGAATTGCTCAAAGGTGCAGACAGTATATGTTTCTCTTTTTTTTTTTGGAGCTGAGGCTTGAACCCAGGGCCTTGCGCTTGCTACCACTGAGCTAAAACCCAAACCCCTATGTTTCTCTTATGTGCAAAATTCAGATAAAAAAATGAAAGTAGAAGGAGCTATTTGGGAAGTAGACAAGATCTGAGGGAACGTGGGACAAGAGGATAATGAAGGTGAGAATGTCACAGTGAACATTGTTATCTTATGCAGCTAATACATGCTGTTTTTTAAGTCATTTTGACTCACATGGTACCCCAGCCTTGAGCTTCTGTAGCTTAGAGGAGCTGACTGTGTGGAGCAGTAAGAAGCCCAATAACCTTACATCAATGTACCGGTCATCCTGGCCCCGTCCATCCTTCCTCTTACCCTTCCTGTGCAGATACACTACTGGCCTTAACCTTAACTTGAATGTGTGCTCTCTGTTTGCTAGGTTCTCCCCTATGGGTGTAGATCACATGAGTGGGATTTCTGGTGTCAATGTCCCCGGCAATGCTTCCTCGGGCTGGTGCATCTTCATCTACAACCTTGGGCAAGACGCTGATGAGGGGATCCTCTGGCAGATGTTTGGCCCCTTTGGTGCAGTTACCAATGTGAAAGTGATTCGTGATTTCAACACCAACAAGTGCAAAGGGTTTGGTTTTGTGACCATGACAAACTATGAAGAAGCTGCAATGGCCATAGCAAGTCTGAACGGCTACCGCCTGGGGGACAAAATTTTACAGGTTTCCTTCAAAACCAACAAGTCCCACAAATAACTCGCTCATGCTTTTCTTTTTTCTTTCCTTTTTTCTTTTTTTGTACGGAATAGATAATTAAGAGTGAAGAAGTTGAAACTTTTTTGTTAGTGTACAACTCATTTTGCGCCAATTTTCACAAGTGTTTGTCTTAGTCTAAATGAGAAGTGCAAAAGGTTTTTATACTCTGGGATGCAACCAACATGTTCAAATGCTTGAAATCCCACAAATGTTAGACCAATTTTAAGTTTTCTTAAGTTATTTCCTTTAAAGTATATATTAAACCGAAACCTAAGTAGACTGCATTGACTAACCAGTCCCTCTGGATGGTGGTGGAACTGAAGCATGCTTTAACTTCTAAGACTGTCTAACACCTGTTTCATTCGATGTCTCCGCAGACCAGATTTAAAACAAAACAAAACCTTTTTTTTTTTCTTCTTAGGTTTAGTTTTTAACCTAAAGATGTTAGACAGATGGAGTGTGTTTTCTTAACTGCTTCACCATTTTAAGCAATTTCTGCTGTAGCTGACAGGAAATTTGCCCTCCCCAGCAGGTCCCACTGCTGCCTCCTGCCCAGTCAGTCCTGGCTCTGGTGTTGGGAGCAGCAGCAGGGCCCATATTCTGTGTGGGCCCTCACCAGGGAGGGGTGAGTTCCCCATGTTGGGCTGGGTCAGGCCCTCCAGAGGACACGAAGGTGTTTTATAAGCCCAGGCACCAATGAGAACGGACCAAAGAGTTTCAGGGCAGCTCCAGTATATTCCAGAGTCAGACCTGAGCTCCAGGCATGCCTGAAGATGTCCCACTCCTCTGACATCCTGAGTGTCTGTCCACACATTGCATGCATGGTGCCCACACATCGGATACTGTTGTTCAAGTATCTCAACCTCTCAAGTTTCCAAGACCATTTAACCTAGCTTGAATGCACAATGATAGCTCTGTTTTTAATGACACAGAAACATTTGAGCATTGTATTTCTCGCATCCCTCCTTGTGAGCGCTAGACTTTCTCCGATCTTAGTCAGATTTTTGTTTTGAAATTTTGCTTTTGTATGGACACTCAGCAGAAAAGTACTTCTTGCCAGTTATCTATTAACAAAAACCTTTGATTTGTAGTTTTAAGGATTAACCCTCAAAGTTCTCTTCATAACTGCCTTGACGTTTGGGGTTCTGTTCTGTTAATTTTCTTTTGCTTTTTTGTGTTTTTTGTTTGTTTTTACTTTTGCATTTAAGACCATTAAATTTGATTTTGTTTTGCTCGAGTTTTGTTTTGTTTTTTGTTTTACCTTTTCTTTCTTTTTTGGATAGGGAAGGCACAGACAGCCCAGCATTCAGGGAGGAGTCTGTCAGACCTTATAAACACTTGCCTCAAAGTTTAAAAAGCATTTCTGGATCTATGGTGTAGAAACACAGCTGTGGATCAATGGTTCTTCACTCGGGAGCTGGTAGGAAAAGTCAGAGGGATGGCCTTCGGAGCAGATGAGGCCTGAGCCCTGCAGCCCTCAGAACTGTGCTCGGATTTTTATTGGCATGTGGAGGAAATGACAACAGGCTAGCTCAGTTACTGGCAGCTCTTCACTTTGATGTGAGCCTGGAGTGTGTAACAGCAGGCTAGTATTTAGTTCTTGATATCATGAGATGACAGCATTATTTATATATTTGTTTACTTATTTATGTATTTAGCTATTTATTTTGTTTAACTTATTTAAGTGGAAAACTGAGCAACAAGCACAGCCATCGCTAAAGCAGGTCATCGTGTCAAGAAACCCTTGAACAATTTGTGGCTGCCTATCCCCTCCCCCTGCCTCCTTTCCCTGACTTCCCTGCAGTGTTCCCCACATTGATGACGTTGTCTCAAGTACCAGGGCTTTGTCCCACCCTACGGAAGCCAAGTGCTGCTCGCTCTTTCCCAGAATTAACCAGCCTGTAGAACCTGAAACCAAAAAGGCCCATTTGCCCAGATCTGACCAAAAAAGAGGGGTCACCTGCTCTGTTGCTACAGAGTGCTCCTCCCCATAGGACCAGAATGTTCTGGTAAAATAGGCATTTCCAGTTTCTCAGGCCAACATTCTTCTGAGTGAAGGTGGGATTCCCAATCTGAGCCTTCCCTGCTTTCTCCTCACTCCTGCAGCCTTAGCTAGTGCCCCATACCTGAAAGGGACTGTATCTTTAAAGCACCTGGTGCTCGGAGCCAGCACCTCAGTCACTACCATCTCCACCCCACAAACACCTATTTATTCCATAGTGATCATTCTGACCAGAAGCATGAGAGGAAAGGGGGAAGTCTTAACAGCTTCTGGTTAAGGTCGCCTCAAGTAGAGTGAAATTCTCTTTCTGTGTGGTCAACACTGTCTGAACAACATTCTAGATAAAAGTCATAGTGCATTTCTTTATGAGCTTTCTTTGTCAGTGTCTAGGAGTTAGCTTTGAAAAGACATTCCTGAAAGCAATTTTCATTCTATGAAGGGACTACTAGATGCTGGACCTGAGCTCAAGAGTTCATGATGGCTTGTAGAGGCTTGCTAAAAAGGGGACATTCCAGAATCCAGAAATGTGTGTGATTAAAGCGCTTGCCAAGGATGAACGAAGCCATGAGTTCCATCCCAACACTGGAGAAAAAGTCACAACCCAAGAAACTATTTCTTAATTTTTTTTTAATTACAGAAATCCATCCTGTTTTTATTGAGCAGAATAAGGGCATTCCTTGCGTTTGGTAATCTGATAAAAAAAAAATACAGAGTAGGTAATGTTCATTCATCAGAAATATGGTTCAGCCAATACCAAAGAGGCTTTGACTGAGTTCACTTGACCTGTATGATTGGCCCTGGTCGTGGGTTATCTGTTGAGCCACCTCCAGATCTTCAGCCTACTAGTTGGGTTACCTGTTTTCTTCCTGGAGTGATTCTCTCTCCCAACTGAAACTTTTCTAGGTAATGTGCCAAGCCCTCTTGGCTGTGCCTCTGGTTGCAGTGCTGTGACTGTACCCCTCCTCCCTATACTTAGATGCTTGCTCAGCTACCATCTTGCTTGACTATCGGAGAACCAGACATCCCTGGGGTGGGGTTAAGGGGTGATGCCACTATACTGTGTGGGTTCTGTCTCTCTCGCAGTTGCCTTAACCTTTTGAGAGTCTGCACTTGACAGTAAGTAGTTCAGGAACCCTCCTGACTATAAGGAGCTAAGACAAGTCTCCTGGCTGGCATTTAAGGGGAATCCTGCTGGGTCAGAGAAATAGATGAACCTCCAAGACAGTGGCAGGTTATCTGCCTGGGTTTGCCTCCAAACAGAAGCCATTTGTCTATAACATAACCTGTTGAAAGGATGTGACCTACTCCAGTCTGGTGTTACATTTGGAAATCAAAGTTGAAATAACTCAGCTCTTCCTATTAGCATGATTTAGCCCAATTTTATCTCTTGATGTTTTGTGCAGCCAGCTTTCCTCTATTGGATGAAAGAAAATATGAATAAGCTGAAAGGAGCCTCTGCCTTCTCCATCCCAACACATTAACCCCTTCCTATCTTCCCAGGAACTGCCTCACCTACTGGGACCTAAGTTAGCTCCTGAGGAAAGACCTCTGGGGTTCATCACACTCAAGAAGTCAGGAATTCTATTTCCAAACTTCCCTAGAGCACCCCAAAGTCATGAACGCTTACTGTTGAGTAGCATTGATGATTTGACATATTCTTAGGGGAGCAATAGAGCATGCATTTCCATCCTAAATAAGGACTCCCCCCACCCCCCACCCCCACCTTTGACCTTTAATAATGATTGTATTACATTTTCCCATAACCTTTTGCTGATGTGGTTCAATTTCTTTTTCTCAGTCATGAAAATATTTATTACTTATTTATTACTTGTAAGTCACCAGCTGCCAAGTATCCGCATTAGGCTGATGGAGACTTTGAGAGGACTGTGCTTTTCTGTTCCCTTCCCCAGAAGAGAAGGCTGGTTGGTTGGTGGAGGCCACCTCTCTTCCCACATGCTGTTTTCCCTCACAGTGGCTTGCTTTGGGGGAGGGGAGGGCTTCTACCAGCTGATTCCCGTGTTGTACACTAGATGGCTAGACATTTTTGTATATTAGTGTGTTTTAAGTTATTGATTTGTTTTATATGAAATAATTTATTTTTCAGGTACCATTTTTTTTTCATTTTAACTTTGTTTTTACATGGGTTTGTTTTCAATAAAGTCTGACACTGCTGTCCAAAGTCAACAATAAAGTGAATCCCATTGTGTTCTTTTTAGGATGTTTATGTAACTAGCCTTTAAAAGTAATTTTCAGAAAAGGAAAGATAGGGACAAAGCCCTCACCTGTTCCCTTCCCAGTTTGCCTTTTCCCACTACTTTAAATCCTTGTGAATAAATGTTCTTCAGTGTTTTAGGAAGAAGAAGCAAACCTAGATTTTGATAATTCAGAAGATTTCAGATTAATGAAGCTTTGAAAGAACCATTTTTCGAAATTTAGTGACGTGTGAATATTTTTTGTCAATGGCTTTCTCAAAGAGAATGAAACTTTTGCACCATTTTCAGAGTTTTTATAGAGATGCCAAATTGATATATTTACATGTAATGGAAACATGAAAAAAAGTTTTATTAAACAATTGTTCATAGCTGTGTAGACATTTTAATTCAGTTTCCAAAGCTCTTCAAAAGCGTATTTTGGAGGTATGGGGCGTTAACTGATGATTCCAAATGAGTCAGTTTGTCCGAATACTCAGTTCCTTTGCAGGTGTCAGGTTTGTGCTAAACACTGTATGTTACCAGTGACTGGAATTCTGTGATATTTTGGTAATAAATGAAGTGGGATCATTGAGATGCGACGGTGTAGGGGTGATCGTGTGTGACTTGTCAGCATTCCAAAGCCAGATGAAGTGGTGACTTCTTCCCTCAGTGAGCCAAGACCAGGCCACAGCCTCACCTAGCAGGGAGCCCATGGACAGCCCAGGTATGATGTGTATCTGTCTTCCTCATGACCCTCCCATTTCTTCCCAGATGTTTCCTCCTCATGGAGGAGCCAGAACCCTGATGATGAATACCTCTTCCCCTTACTCTCGGGTTGGATGTGGCCACATTTGAGCCATGGGATAGAATGAGACTCAGTTTCCTTTGGGACAGGAAAGCAAAGTGTAGCTCTCCATCTTACTGTGTAGTTAGGAGCACAGAATCTCATGTGGGCTGGGGATGTCCCTCTTTGGATAGAGTGTCTACCATATACTAAGCTCTGACCTCCATTCCTTAGTGCCACAGAAAATAATTGTGGTAGTGTGTGCCTGTAATCCAAATACTTGAGAGACAGAAGGACCAGTAGCTCAAGGTCAGCCTAGGCCAGCCTGGGATACAAGAGACCTTCTCACCCCTCAACCCCTCCAGAGTTGGGGTTGGGGTTACTCCCTGAAGTTAAGGATCTGGGTCTGGAAAAGAAATTGTATCTTGGAGAACTGGGAAGAAGACTCAGAAAAGCCTGTGGAAGACTCTTCCCCGGTTGAACAAACTCGGGACAAGAGTGGAGAGTTGGTGGGGGAAGCTGGTTTGGTGGAATACACATGGAGGCCATTTCTTGTCAAGGCAGGGCTTCTGGAGAGAGGCCTTGTGAGTCAACAGTGGGATCTACAGGCAAGTGTAGAAGAGCTGGGGGGTGAAACTAAGAATTCACCTGGAGATCCCTAAGGGAAATGCCACAACCACTAAGGAAACTCATATACATAAACAGCATGAATCCATTCAGGAAGGCTGTGGGTTTGTCACCAACCCCATGTATACAGGGGACACTGGTTAGATAAACAAGATGAATGGGATTAAAGAAGATGACAGGGCACCTGAGAGGACCTCTATGGCTCGGACTCCGAAAACCCATGGAAGACTTCACAGTGACTTTCTGAGCTGGTGAGATGACTCCGTGTGTAAATTGCTTGCTTACTAAGACTGATGACCTGAGCTCAATCCCCAGGATCCACCTGATGGAAGTAAAACCTACTCCTACAAGTTGTCCTCTGACCCTATGAAAAACACGTGCATGCTCACACACAATTGAGTTAAAAATACAAACTTCAAATGACTTCAGCCAGGCATAGTGACACATGCTGTTATTCCTACCATTTAGGAGTCAGAGGCAAGCAAATTCCCACAAGCCAGGCATGGTTCCAGGACACCCAGGGCTACATAGACCCTGTCTCTCAAAAAGGGTGGGGGAGAGGCCAGTCTGGTCTACATAGTTCCAAGCCAGCCAGGGCTACATAGTAATACTTTGTCTTGACAATCAAAAGGCACACTCTGAGGTACAGATGGTAGATTCTCAACGGCCTTGGTTCTGGTCAAGAGGAGAAGTATAACGTAGTGGGTAGGTGGTTGTGCCAAGCCCTGAAGCACCACCCCTAGTGAGGCATCAGGTAGCTGCTTGGTACCTGCCCCTTGTGTGTGTGTGGCTGCCAGGGACCCTTAAAACCTGGGATGCATGTATGCACTCGTACCTTGTGGGTTTTGGATACTGAGATCAGGGCAGAGTTCACCAGAGAACAACTTGGGCCTTGCCTCACCCAAGATCCTGCTATAATCCGTTATTTCTGTCTTGTAAGTTAACCCCCAAATCCTTTGATCATTAAGCTGATTCTGTGGACTGATAGCCATTTAATTGCATTAGTATAGAGAAATTCCATGTGGTTCCTTCCAAGCGGGAAGGAACCACAAATTGTCAGTGGAAGAGATCCAGAGGTGCCGAAGCTGGTAAGGGTGGGAAATTCTTGATGCTTGGCTATGGGAACAATGGTCCCAGTTGGCATGTTCATTTTATGACCCTGAAACCAGTTCCAGGATTTGTGTTTGAAGTCATTTAAAGAAGGGAGGGGAGTGTGTGCATGTGTGTGCCAGGGATAGGTGGAGGTCAGAGGATAATTTGTAGGATTGGGTTCTCTCCTTTCACCATGTGGGTCTCAGGGATTGAGCCCTGGGATTGAACTTGGGTGGCCTTCCTGTATTGCCATACATTTTTCTTACCCTCTTCATGCTGAGATGAACCCAAGGCTTCCTGCCCTCTACCAGTGAGTCATCACACCCCCCAGTCTGTTTTCTACTTCTGTAACCAATTGCCATGTCTTTAGTGGCCCAAAACAACACCATTTATCATTGCCTGATTCTGTGAGAAGTCTGGTTGGGTACTGGGTTCAGCAGCACCTACTTTAAGATTACAACAAGAATAAGGAGAGGTTAGCGTGGCCCCTGCTCAAGAATGAAATGGGAATTCATGAAAACTTCTATAACTTAACACAAAGTGAATGCAGCATTTGATACATGGTAAATTTTTTTAATTTTGTAGATTTATTTTTTATGAGTTTTGCATGTATGTATGTATGTCTTTGTGCCAAATGAATGCCCAGTGCCCACAGAGGCCAGAAGAGGATGTCAGATCTCTTGCAACTGGAGTTAAAGATGGTTGTAAGCCACCATGTGGGTGCTGGGAATCAAACCAAGCTCACTGCAAGACCAAATGCTCTTAACCGTTGATCCATCTCTCCTGTTCAGTAAGCCTAAATTCTTGTTCAGAGGGCCTCAGGGTGTGGTTTAAGAAATGAGAATAGGACTGACAAAATGTCTCAGTGGGTAAAGGTACTTGATGCCAGGCCTCATGACCTGAGTTCAATCCCCAGGAGCCACATTGTGCGAAGAATGAACCAACCCCTGTATATTGTCATCTGACTTCCACTCACAAGACAAAATAAAATATTAATTTAAATGGTTTTTAGGTTTACTTATGTTCTTTGCCTGCATGTATGTACATGTACATGCCTGATGCCTATGGAGGTCAGGAGAGAGTGTCAAATTCCCCTGGGCCTGAAGTTACAGACAATGGTGAGTTACTTTGTGGGTGCTGGGAATGGAACTTTGTTCTTATGGAAGAGCAACAAGTGCTCTTAACCACTGATCCATATCTCCAGCTCTAATTTTAAAAATTTAATGGGAATAATAATATTTAGTACCTTATGGAATTATTGCAGTCAGAGAGGTCAGCCAACCGTGATGATATGCACCATAGAAGGTCATGAGTCCTACACAGCTAGTTTATTAAAATAGAATACAAAGGAATGGGAGAGTCTTAACACTCACTGATTAGTTGCCCTGTTCATGTAACAAGTAGTTATAGCTTCACACAACACAAATTCTGGCTGCCAAGATGTCTCAGTGGGTAAAAGCACTTGCCACCAAGCATGACAACTTGAGTTGGAGTCCTAGATTCCACATGGTAGAAGAGAGTCAGCTCCACAAGGCTGTCCACTGATCTCCATGCAATTACAATGCAGCACTCAAAAGGCTAAGACAGTTTTTGAGTGGTCATTAAACTGTTCTTGCAGCTTTGAAATTCTACAGAGCCAATGTGGGCCTCACACCTGTAATTGCAATACTTGGGAGGCTGAGACAGAAGGATTAGCTTCAAGTTTAAGCCCAACCTGGAGTAATAACAAGTTCTCTGAGTCTCTAGCTTAACAATTAAAAATAGATAAATAAAATTTTAATGCCAGAAGGTAGTGTTTCCACGCCTTTAATCCCAGCACTCGGGAGGCAGAGGCAGGTAGATCTCTTGTGAGTTAAAGGCCAGCCTAGTCTACAGAGTGAGTTCCAGGACAGCCAGCGCTGTTACACAGAGAAACTGTCTCAAAAAACCAAAAACATAAATTTAAATAAAATAAAATTTTAAGGGATGGGGCCAGTGAAATGGCTCAAAGGACGAAAGGCACAAACAAGCCAAGCTTGACCACCTGGGTTGTCCTCTGACCTCGACAGGTGCACTGAGGAACGTGTACCTTTGACACATGGAGGTGAAGAAGGCTAAATAAATGTAATCAAAATTGTAAATAGGAGATAGGATTTGGGGATGGAGCTCAGTCAGTAGCATGTTCATAGGGCATACATGAAGTCCTGGATTCCGTTAGTCTTAGTGGTGTATACCTATAATCCCAATACTGAAAAGGTAGAGGCAGCAGGATCAAGTTAAAGGTCATCCTCAGTTATATGTTGAGTCCAAGGCCAATCTGGGCTATCTGAGACAGAGACAGAAACAAAAATAAATTGCGGGGGAAATGCTGGGCATGGTGGAGCATACCTTTAACCTCTGCACTAAGGAGTTTATAGACAGCCTGGTCTACAAAGTAAGTTCCAAGCCATTCAGGGCTAACTGCTACACCATAAGACATTGTTTATAAAACAAAAATGTTGATGAAAAAGGTATGCTACCCACCCACTCCTGTTTCCCCAGCTGTCATCATCATCCTCTAAAGGGTCTGTATTTACCTTCCCTCTTCCCAAGCTTTGCTGTTCTGATTAACATAACACCAGAGGAGAAGCCTTTCCCCTTACTTTCTCCTGGAAGTGGGATTCCTCAGAGACAAGTCTGTCTAGTCACAAAGGCAGGGAATGCATGTCTCTAGTGTCAACCTGCCCCTTTTTGTTTGCTTTTCAATAAAAGTAAGTTCACTAATTTAATAGAGCTGGCAAGATGCTTGGTGGGAAAAGATGCTGCCCATCAAGCATGACGATATTAGTTAGATCTGGGATGCACATGTTGGAAGAGACCCAACTCTCAGAAGCTGCCCTACACAACACACACACACACACACACACACACACACACACACACACACACACGAGAGAGAGAGAGAGAGACAGACAGACAGACAGACAGAAACAGACAGAGACAGAGACAGAGAATGGATAGATAGATAAATGTAAGAAAAAATGGGAAAAATATCATCAGGAGCTGGAGTGATAGCTTGGCTGCTCTTCCAAAGAACCCAAGGTGCATTCCAGCACCCACATTGAGGTTCA